ATTCCTTTCACTCTCCAATAAACTGGCTACTTGTCCCTTGGATGTGGACAGTGGATTCTCTCTGAACCTGCAGTGAAATATATAGATACAAACTTTCTAGCCGCTACACCAAGTGCATGCAGAATGGCTGTGAGTGTGGCGTTTTAATTCAATGGATGTCTGTGGTTGCTAAGGTACAGAAAAACGGATCTTCTTACCCACGTTCCACTAACGCAATCTGCCCCTGGATGAAAGCCCCATTACTCAGTTCTCCACAGGCCTCTGGAGGATCTGCTGGTACCAAATGGATCTGGTCATACCTCTGGCTCTGAATCAGAACGATACAAAGAGGAATCTGTCAATGTAGAGCTCACAAGCACTGTTACAATTAGTGTCAATGTCTTCAAACTCAAAAATATATACAAGACATCCATCGTACAATTCTCCACTTTACAAGATATATTGAAGATATGGACGTCACGTGTAGTAATCTATTTTGAGGTTGTCTTGTTTCTGCATCCTGTTTAATTTCATTTACATTTATAATATATATTAAAATGCAATGATTTCCCAAATATGTCCATTTAGAATTAAATTGTCAAACAATAAAAATGCAATATATTACTTTAGGTAGGCTCTAGTGGTTCACACCATGGTGTCAAAATAATTAAGGACCAGTTGTTAGGGCTTATTTGATGACTTTCCTTTCTTCCACCCCTTTCAGCAATTACTCTGTATTGACGGGGTAGGGATTTTGGTGGCAATCATTTGCTGGTATTTTTCACCTCTTTTATCCTACCTTCCACTTTGGTATGTGCTTATTTGGGTTTATGGTGGTTCTAGTTTAAGTGACCAGTATTGCCCTCTTTCTGGGATTGACATAGGCAGATCAGTGAATATACCCTCATAGCATTTTTACTACCATTTTTTCTCTTTTTTGAACTCTTATCTTTACCTAACTTAGATTCTAATAAAAGGTAGGAATCCGTCACTATGTCATTCTCCCTTTTTAGGGTCCATTGCTCTCTCTACCAGATGGACCCTACTACTAGTGTCTAAATCTTACCTTTGCCTAACCCCCCTCCCCCCTCGGCCACCGATGTCAAATAAGGCACAGACCCTAGATGGTGACAAATCCGCTTTAAGGTAAATCATGGTTTAGTGAATGCATTATTTTAGGTGGAATTATTTAGGACTTATACAGCAAGGGTATTGTGCGGAGAACAGTTAAGAGGCATTGAGAGATATTGCCATTAGTTAAAAGGTCACTCCAAGCACCATAACCACTAAAGTCTGTTACTGCTAGTGAATGATCTTCAGTGCATAGCAATATGCTTGTCTCAGGATAGCTAATCACATACTAATGCCACTGCGGAGGTGGAGTTACACTTCCGGCACAAATATAAAAGATCTCTGAATGTGTAGCGTTATATAGTGAAATACTCCACATACAGACTCTAAACAGCATAACCACTTCAAAACACTGCAATGCTCATGGTGCTTGGAGTGTACCTTTAACAAAATTAGTGATGTTGGGGCTTAACGAAGACCCCTTTACAGTAAAAGAACGTATGATCTGCACTTACAAAGACTCCTCCAAAATCCTTTGCTGGGGTTGTAGTAAAGATATAGCGAATGTCACCAGGACTCAGGACTTGGAAATACAGATATTCCTGAATGCGGAGACCTGGAGATAGAGAGAAAGCATGGTATGATGGTCAGTTGCCAGGTTTATGGAAAGGACATAGGACCTTCCTACCTGGTGTCTTCCTGTAGTCCTGGTTTAGAGACAGTATCTTTTATATCAGTGTTTCCCAACCCAGTCCTCAAGGCACACCTACCAGTCCAGGATTTAGGGATTACCTAGTTGTGTCTAAGGTGTTTTTTTTCTTCTTTGTAAAAACACCTTAGACACACCCTGTAATCCCTAAATCCTGGACTGGTAGGTGTGCCTTGAGGACTGGGTTGGGAAACACTGTTTTATATGGATTTCACTTTATTTGTTTTAATCATAATGGCTGCTTAGATTAGAATCTCAACCGCCAAGCCTCAGGACAGGCTGCGGAGCTATGCCCAATACAGTGAATTCTCTGAGCTCTCGTACTTACAGCAATAAAGTCAATTTGGAGAGAATATCTGGTAAAGCAGATTGTAAAACACAGGATACAAACATCTCCCGGCATTGCCCGAGGATGTCTGGAGTAACATCTATAGCTATCAGCTGCTATTCGTTGCTCTTGCCAATAATTCAGGAGCAAAGCTGGGAAAAGAGACGCACACTGTGTCCCCAAGCACCTCTCCTGGCAGATTTGTTTAGGAGAAAGGCTGAATTGAGGAAGCACACTAAGGAATTATAAATGATAAGCCACACTCAAGTGGTTATGGTGCCACTCTCCATAAGGGCACAAACCATTTGTGAACAATATGTCACTTACCCAATATGTTCCCCTGGGTGCCTACGGACCTTCAGGTCTATAATACAATGTACAAAGTTCTTATTCAGCACCCATACTGCTAGACATACACAGAGCTGCAGAATAACACAACACCACTGACAATCCACATACCCACAGACAACTCCACAAGCAGCATCTAAAATGCAATACCACAAGCAGCCACGCCAAGTACTTGTTTTGGCACAATACTACTAAAAGGTTGCTGTGACAGATCCATCTGTATAGACTGATATTGCTGGTTAGTCTGTTTTGCCTCTTTTCGTGGAATTACCTGTTCGTATGCCCCTGTTCGTCTGTTACAAAATGTACCGAACAAAACTACCGAACGGACGGCCACCCAGGAGAGAAGTGTGCTGCTGGTTAACCTCTTGGCCCCAATTAGAACGTTGTGGTTAACCACAGACACCTCTCCATTCTAACTGTATGTAGGGTGGTTGTCGTTCGCATGCCGACCACGAGGCGGCGGCCATTTTAAAACACGCGAAAGACCAGCGGTGTTCGGCGCAGATTTTATGGAACTATAAACGGACACTTTTTCTACCGAACACCACTAAACCCAACGACCGCCCTTCTCATTCGTCCAAGCATGCGAACACCGGTCCGTTCGGGAGTTTGGATAATACGAATGAACTTAACCCAGATAGCCATCCCATGGAGTCAATCGCATACCGAAAGACCTGAAAAAGACTTTGACTCCGTGGCGATTGAACTGTGCGAATGGGATCTGAGCGCTATTCGGTAGGAATATGCACTCAGATCCAGGCTATCTGGGGATACATTGCACGAATATAATATGTTCGGTATTTGTACAGTTACCTATTTTTATGCATTTTTAATGTTTCGTTTAAAATGTCGATTTGCCTCTATCCATGGAGATAATTGGATTCCTTCCCAATTATCTCCAGGATAGAGAGGAGGGATTTACTGTATAAAGCGGAGTGTGTAAACCTGAGCTACTGTGATTGGCTAATGTATCCTACTTGTCCCAGTCTTCCATCTGGTCCCCTAGAGGAGTGTCCACCAGGTATAAATACCCGGAAAGTAGCCCTAATTAAACAGATTCCTGTTTTACCCTCAAGACGGAGCTTGGTCTCGTATTTGGGGGGGAATTGCTACTTGGAAGGATTTCTTTCGCCTGTTTTAGCCGAAGAAGGGATTCGGCTGATTTGTCTATTCATGGATTTACCGCGTTCCCTTGTGTTTAGATCAGGAATGACTAACCATCTAATGCTCAGATAGCTTTTAGACTCTACAAACTAGCTGAACATCATGGGAAGTGTAGTCCAGAAACAATTTGTGTTGTCAGGGTTAGTCATCACTGGTTTAGAGTGTACCAGTTACTGGGATGTACCCTGTGACACCCACTGTCTCTGTCCCTCCCTGCAGGAATGCAGCCATACCTACAACTGACCAGCATGGAGGAAGGGGGGCTCATACCTACCCCTAACCAGCATGGAGGGATGGAGGGGGGGTCATACCTACCCCTGACCTTGACCAGCATGGAGGGGGGGGACTCATACCTACCCCTGACCAGCATGGAGGGGGGGGTCTCATACCTACCCCTGACCAGCATGGGGGGGG